TGATTAAACCCAATAAAATACTTTAAACCTCCGATACAATTTGTTTGAAACTCAAACGCATGTATTTGAGGACAAATGAATCAAATAAAGTTAATATCATTTTGTAATATTCATTCTTTACAAGTAAAAATCCGCTTTAACAAAACATATACTTACACAATATTTTGACGCGATTTAATTCAGGTGGAAAAGAAAAGTGCTTTGAGGAAGAATTGTGATATTTAGATGCTGGTTATAAAAATGTCTCCAGTCTGAAGTATGTACTTATATAATTGTTTAATCAAAATTCTAGAAATAGGGGATCCTACGAGGCCAATGAAAACAAAATCAAATAGACTTTATTGTGTATGTTTAAGAAAGAAAGTGATTTTTCAAAGTGCAACATCACTCACACCGCTAGCAGCTATAATATATAACAAATAATTGAACTAGGTTAGAGATTTACTACCTTTTCTAAAGTACATTTTTGAACCTTATTTATTCCATTGAATATTCTAATGTAACTGTTGAAGTTACAAAGACATTATTGTTTTTGCCTTTCATAATTGAGCCCTTATTTAAAATTTGTTTTCATTGTATGATGCGTATTTATAAACAAAATCATAATGTACTGATAATGTAATGTAATCAATTATCGAAAAATAACCGGATTTTATTTTTCATCCGATATTATCTTTTTTATATGACTAAACCCCTGATAACGCTGTAATAATAACTCCAATTGTTGTTCTGTTTTATAAAAGATAACGATTTTCGTCACTCCATAATGGTATTGTGCCATTTTTCATAAAAAGCTTTGGGTGTTAGTTTATGTGTATCAATTTGCAAAATGTGTACGTACTTTTCTTTTTTCTTTTTGTTGACCAATAGTCACCATCGTTCAGTGGGTGGGCTATTAAACATTGAAATAATTATAACCCATCTTTGCTTAATAATTTGAAAAAGAAGCCTTTGCTTAGTCGAAAATAGTTGTAGTTTTATGCAAAATATTCGTCATTTTTAAAAAGGAGAGTTAATTAAGTCGGTTGTTTCTTAACAACTTGTACTGGTACACAAACTTTCTGAGGACGTACAAATTGTTTTGTTACAGGTTTAAAGTCATCGGATTCCGTTCAACTAGTAAAGTGCAAGAGGAAAACGTTCACTTACTTTTACTCATACTAAAGAATTATTTCATAAATTTACCAACTTTTTTGTAATTTTTATTGCAACACATACAGAATTTCTTGATATCATATGATATAGTAAACCACCCACAACACTATCAGATTCAAAATGTCAAACGTCTTACTTATTTTCATAAAACCTTTATTAATATTTAATTTTCTATATTATTTATGAAATAGAGTCACTCGCATTTGTTTCTGAATAGTATATTATTAATACCTTTTCTGAATGACGATTAAGCTTAACCTTTCTATTTGCTACGTGCCTACGCATTGTAACGCAATAATGCCTTACCATGATATCAGCATTGTTATGATCCCAAGACAAATGTTTTATTGATAAACAGTCATCTATATATGTATGAATATAAAGGCTTGTAGGTAGGTAATTTATATTGCTGATTGAATATTCGGAGTATTTTTGTCTATTTAATATTGAACGTTATCACTCCTTTATGGTAAATGTATTGAAACCTTGAATTACAAGTACAAATGTTACATTTCATTACAATATTCACAGGAATAAGTGATAGATATTTCCTATTTGCAACTTATTTTGAATAATCAAACCTTACTGGTATGTTTAGAATTTTGTTTTAGACATGGAATAATCATAAAATGCTTATCAGTAATTTAATTGATTTACAACTGTTTCATTTACGTATTTGTCCTTAACATGCATTTCGTCTGATTAGCTTTAGTAGCATTCTTTTGATAAGATATTAAAAGAGGCTCTCCTGGTAATAATTTTAATAATTCTTCATGATTTCTTTTAATATTTTGTCATAGAAGAAGTAAACCTAAAATAGATGTATACAAAATTAAACATTGTAACAGTCACTTGATTGTCAAAATCAGTACTTGACTTGCTAAAGTCTAGTGGGCACTTATCAATTATATAATGATTCTAGAATAATCTGGTTATAATCATAAGCTAGTTACAGTTTAATCGGACGCTTCTAAAGAGCATTTGTTTCTTTCTGCTGGTTGGATTATCATTCAGTTATTAACGAAAAAATTGGTAATTACTTTGAAGTTATCCAGGAAGGCCGTCTAGGTGAACCGACCGTCGAAATAGAAAAATGACCAAACATTTGAGAAAAGAAAAATGATAGCTTAGTTATAAAGTAGTTAGCTAAAGGTAAAATAATTAATATTAAATAGGAGATATAATCATTTTGTCCTGGTACCTAGCAAGAGAAGTCATATTTGACGAAAACATCTCAATGGAATATGCAAAGATTTACATACATTTGTCATGTTATACACTGTGATGCAAAAACTCCTTCGTTTATTTAATAAAATGAATAAAACCGATATCGCTTTTTCTTTATAACGTGGCATTATTGTTTGTGCTATAAACAAACCATTGTCTGGTTTATGATACGCACAGATTTTATTATGTATTAAGATGTCTATAAAGACAGGAATGCTGCCTTGGGGACTGGTTTTAAACTTTATAAATACTAAAAAAATCACTTAAGTCTAAATATAGAATAAACTGCTATTCTCATGAAATGTTTAGATAAAAACCTTACAAGTGAAATTTGATTCTAACGCTAAGTTCGTCATGAATAAAAGTTGGTTGAATGGTAAATAAAAGTATGTTTCCCTATTGTTTACTGTTAAACGACAAATTACACAAAGAAAGCATGAAGTAATAATTCTTGCTTGTTAACAATAAAATAATGATGATTGTAATCAATAATAACTAATGAATAATAATAAAAACTGTTTACTTTATTTAATGATTTAATGATCTTTTTATAGTAAACCTATCTTAAAAAATGTGTTTTCTGCATTTACATGGAAATCAAGTTTGAATTTCCATCAGGAGTGGAAACAAATTTTATACAATAGTTTATGAAGAATTAAATGAAATTGCAAATTATATGCCAGTAATCCCATGTTTCAATGCATATACATCGTAAGAGTGGTAACGTAAAATGTTTCTAGAAAAAGTAAATGCACCGAATATTCAGATTGCCTACCTACAAACTTACATCATTCATTTTATAGATGAATGTTTGTCAGTACAACATTTATCTTGGGACCATGACATTCTGATATTATGAATTACTAGTATTACGAATGTGTAGGCACGCGATAAAAACAAAAGCCAGTTTTAATTATCATTGAGAAAATGTATCATAAAAGTATTAAAATTCAGGAACAAATGTGGGTGACCTCATTTTGTATTAGATATAGAAAAATATTTATCTTTACAGGATTCATGCACAAATTTATGTTTGACATTTCTGAATCCGATAGTCTGATTGACGGAGAAACTATAACAAGATATCAGGTTATAAAATGACTAGTTAAGTAACTCCTGTGTGTGTTTACCAAAAAAACATAACAACAGTCATTAAATCAGACAATCTGGATTTAATGTCATATGATGAGAAAAGATCGTGAACGTTTCCTTGTTGAGTGATACCCGTTAGACTTAATACCAACAACATGTTTGTACGCCATCTAAGTCTTACCTGTCTAACAGTCACATTCTTGATCAATACGTATATGCAAGGTCAAGGTCACCAAGTATATTGAAATGAAATGTTTCGAATTTGTCGCAGCATTATTATTTTCTTCATGCATATATGAAGTTCAGTACAAGTGTATTACTTTATACAAATGCTAACCACAATGAGACTTAATATCGCGCTTATGTAACCTGGTCAATTGTCAAGGTCATAGAGGACAGGAGAAAATGTTTGTCCGGAGCAATATTTGTATATATGTATGCATCTAGGACTTTTTATGAAGAACGTATGCATATTAATAGAAAAACATTAATCAATCAAGGTTAGCTACTTATTTGAAGGACAGTAAGCATTTTCTGAAACACGTACAATTGTTTCATTTTCATGTCGGTAGCAGAGCTATTTTTAACCATCTATCGTTTTGTCAGAATAGCAATTTAACTAGTTTAATTAATCGGACTAAAGTTATGTTTGATCGCATAGTGAGAGGTAAGATTAAAATCCATTTTGTTGACTTAAACACATTTTGATAGCCATTATTTAGTCTAATGATAATCTAAAGTTACAAAAAGTGCATGTCTCAGTGTTCATCTAATGACATGGTCCCTTATTTCTTCATATTTATTAAAAGTTAGGTAGTGTATTTTAATACTTTTTAAAAAGTAATGAACAGTAAATGAAATGTTTCACGTCTGACTGATTGTACATTTCACTAATTATTGTACATGTATAAGTGAGGACAAAATTTCGGTGCTCAATTGGTAGAGCACTAAGCTCTGAAGGAACTTACTTCATGGCAGAAGGCTAACGGCCATCAAAAGTTTGTGTGTGTGTGTGTTTCTTTTACAACTTGTATTATTCATATGAGAAACTATATTATCATAATGCTTTTTTATTTAATCGATTATTTATCATTTTACTTTTTTATCTTCACCCCATTTTCCCATTTATTCCCATATCTCTTTTTTATATCTTTTTATAAATGTATGAATATTATAACATATTTTAGGAGAGACAAAAATACAATATCTTAAAGTATATTTACGTAATCATATATCTACTTCGTCTCAACAGTAAGATGTATATAATTAAATAAATATAAAGCATATAAGTTGAATAGTAATATTTTCATTTAATCACTTGTAGTTACCAATGTTTACCAATGAAACTATAGAGTCGGGAGGGAAGAACATTATCAAGTAAGGCGTGGGGTTTACAAGAATTCTTTCCTTGACGAAAAGTGTATTTTTCTGCAAACATAATCATGTTAGTCATGTTTTGATATGTTTTTCCGAGTTTGAAGAAAATGAAACTCTCTTTTGATATCAATTTAGCAGGCTCCGATGATAAAATACATATCAAAATACAGAGGTATGTTACTCTCTATTTATCTTGTGTATTTTCAGTGATTCAATATCTTCGACTGGGAGTAAAGGCATAACACTATATTATATAGCGCCGTTGTCATGGACTTTCGCAGAAAAAGTGTAATTATGTACACTGTGATTATTCCATAAACCAAATAAATTAACAAATACTTACGGGATTACTTTTTAGATACATCTGCAACATCATATAAGAACAAACAAATGTGTTTGTGTATATATATACATGTATAAACTATATTCACAATTTGCGATGTAAAATAGATAAACCGTCACATTATTCAGTCCTTTTAAGATTATCTAGATAACAAGTAAATATTAACATGTTTTGCATTTGTTTGTGATCATAACGTGTTTTGTATACTTTGTTAAAGTATCAAATTTGTTTTCATAAATAATAGTTATGTATTCTAAATGCTTTGATGCCCTCAAAATTAGGCCCCTGAGTGACAGAAAAAGCACTTCACAAAAAGGAATCGAAAATAAAAACAGTCTTCCATATAGTTGTTTGATGACCTTGAATTAAAAATAGGCGGCATAAAGCTAATAAATGTGTCCTACATTGGTATTTACAGGTCGCGTAATCTATTATTATCTTCACTTAAACTTAAACTCACTAAATCCGATCAATTCATGTTGATTCTGTTTTCTATTTCACCTATTGTTGTGGACTAATATATTTTTATAAAATGTTGGAATTAACATTCATTTTGGGCATTATCTGTATGGTTTTAATGATGGTTCATTTCTTGAAACGATTTCACCAAACTAGAAACAAAATATATCCTAATGGGCCTTTTGGATTTCCAATTGTTGGTCACTTACCGTTGTTTGGAAATTATCCACCGGAAACATTCATGAAATGGTGGAAGACGTATGGTGACGTGTTTTCTATACGACTTGGAAGCTGGAATGCTGTTGTTGTCAATGGTTACAATGCTGTCAAGGCAGCTGGTGAACATCCTGACGACGCATTCAGTGGAAGACCAAACTTTGTTTCAATGGATATCTTAAATGAACGAATCAAGGAGGTTACTTTTGCTTTCAGTAATTTTTCGCCAGTTTATTTGAAACAGAGAAAATGGGCTGCTAAGGCTCTACGTTTATTTACGTTCAAACGACGAGAAGTAATTGAAGAGTTAGTTACGAATGAGGCTAACGCATTTGCAGATATTTTGGTGGAAAAATACAACAGAAATTCCGGTTCAATAGAACTAGATGTCCAAACTTTAGTTACAAGGATAATATATCAGTTTCTTTATGGACGTGGTAAATCTGTTGATGTAGAGAGGCATGTTAAAACAATAATAAAAACACTTGAAGAGTTCAATGAACTGACTGGAAGTGGTAATCCTTTTGACGTATTGCCATGGTTGCGGTATATTTTGCCTTTCAAAATTGACAAGCTTGGAAATAATCTCGTACGGTCATACAACATCACGAAAGAACAAATACGCGAACATCATGAAACATTCACAGCAGGTAAAATCAGAGATGTTGCGGATGCTATCCTTGCTAGTGACGTTGATGACGAAAGAAATACAGATGGATACGTGTTAACAAGGGAAAGGCTGAACCTCACACTTGGTGACTTACAAGGAGCCGGGTTCTTATCTATTTATTACATTTTCTTCTACATCAATCATCTGTTAATAATTGGTATTTAAATGATTTGTAAGAATGCTAAAAGTAGGCTTTATTTGTTGCTTAGTTTTCTACATTCTGATTTACAAAAAACACTGTTACATTAATCTAAATTATTTTATGAAAAAATAACGTTTCTATGGTACTTAAAAAAAATTGATGCTGTACTGATTGATTTTTTGCGTACATTCTAGTGTCGATACAACAAATAAAACCTTATCGTGGCTGTTTCTCTTCATGGCAAGATTTCCTGAAATCCAAGAACGAGTATTTACAGAGATAAAAGATATAGTTGGAACCAAAAGAAGCGTTATGTTAACGGATAAACCAGACCTGGTCTACACAAATGCTGTAATTTTAGAAGTCATGCGAATGGTAACCCAGCTTCCATTTTCAGTTCCACATTATGCAGTGAAAAAATGCAAATTTACAAGGCTTCGAGTT